CTTCACCTGGTGGACATCTCGAAGCGGTCGTTGACGGAGCTGACCCTCCAGTTGGCGGCTCCACACCTCTCCAGCTCCTGCTCCCAGTCCGAGGCCGACTCGAACCAGTTCATGTGGGCGTCCCGGCGACGGTTGCTAAGAAACTGCTTCATTTCTGGGGGAGGGAAGAGATTCGGTTTTGCTTCTTGGCCGCAAGTTATCTTCAAACTTGTGACACTCTGAGGGGGAGGTGCTGGGAAGCTTAACGTTGGTGTTTTAATCTGAAGACAATTTTCTACTCCTCCGATTGTGACCAACCTTCTCCTCCAACTGCTAACAGTAAAAAAAATCAAGGCCCATCCTGATCACCAGATCAGACTCTGAGCAGCCGATTATGGGGCTGGATTGAGTCCATGTCCTTCTTTTCCTTTCCCAAAGTCCCTGAGATGCTTCGGTAGGCCGAGGACGCAGATGGCTGCCCACAGAGGACACACTTGACCCCCGGGGCAGAGTTGAACTGTAGGTCATCTAACGACTTGTTTCAGTTGGGGGGGGCTTGCATTATTTATCTGGCCATCTACGGGCTGGCCAGCCTAGCGTAGCTTTAACATAGACCGACATATCGGCTCGTGTTTCCATATGTGGTGGAAGTGAGCGGCTGGCTCAGAGCTGGGAGGGACTGAGGGAGCTTTTCTCATCTGATTTTAGCAAAACAACTCAAGCAAACATACAAAAGAATTCTCTGTATCACTTGAGAGCTCAATTATACATTGAAGGTGTGGGGTTTAGCCTTTCATTTTTCAATCACTGAGTGTCTAAAATCTTTAGAGGGCCTCGGTTTCGGAGCCCTGGCAGAGCTGTAACATATGGATTTAGTTTCAAGTTAGTATTCTCTTTGTGTCGTCAAGAGAGGAATGCGATTCATCTGGAAAACCGAAAGGGATTGAAGCTGCTTACAGTTCTGTGAGCAGCACAGAAAGCTGCATGCTACCAGTTTAAGCTTGAAATGCCACATTCCATGTTAATAAAAATGGGGATAGATGACAAATTGTGATCAGTCTTACACGTTCTGTTTTTTGGCTGGTTTTACTGGATGAAAAGTGCAGTCACAATCCAACAAAAACACTCTTTAAAGAAGGAATCAGGGTTCAGAGGCAGCGCATCAATAAGGGATTCGGGAGCCTTTTCTGATATTAACTCAACTGATATATTTCAGAATTTAAAATCCAACTCCAGATATACAGTGGGGGAAATAAGTATTTGACCCCTTGCTGATTTTGCAGGTTTGCCCACTTACAAAGAATGCAACGATCTATAACTTTAATCATATGCACATTCTAACAGCGAAAGACAGAATCCCAAAGAAAATTCCAGAAAATCACATCAAATGATTTTATAAAAATTGATAACCATCTGATGAGGAAAAATAAGCATTCTTTGTAAGTGGGCAAACCTGCAAAATCAGCAAGGGGTCAAATACTTATTTCCCCCACTGTACATAGAAAATCAACAGAACACTAAAATTAGACTGTAGTGCTCATGTTCCAGTTGGCTGCATTATTAATGCGCTCAATAACTGATCAGAAGCAGCCGTTATTGATGGGATCCATCTCAGGCGTGTCCCTGAAGGAGAGAAACTCGGTGAGAGCAGAAGGATCCCGTCCCGGTGCCAGGAAGGCTCCCGAGTGCCTGCAGACAGTAAACCACTCACCCACACTCCCCAGAGCAGCGTTCTGGAAAGATGAAACTGACCCCGGTTTCAGAGGCTGGTAGGTCTTGGCGATGGTGTATGTCATCTGAGGAGGGAAACCACAGTGAGTCCATCTACATGACAAAGGTCATCGGCTTTAAAAAGGGAGGTCCTGCGCCGTCAGATCAGCCTCAGAGGGCTGATGTCCGGTAACCAGAGACCAGGGTTCCAAATTCGTGGGAATTTGGTGTTAGCCAGCAGGGCTAACGGCTCTGAAAAGTTGTTAGCTAGCTGACCAGAAGCAGCCCGATTGGTTCTATTCTGCAATGTGGTCTCCAGCAGACTATATTTAATGAATATTTAATATAATAATAATAATTGTAATATAATATCATTAAAAACATTTTTAGCGCCTCTCCCTTGGCAGCGCAACCACGTCATGCCTCCAACGATTTCATAAAGGAGGAAGGGAGGAAGGAGACAGGAAGGAAGGAAAACGAAAGGAAGAATGAGGCAAGAAGGAGGCAGGAAAGAAGGAAGAAGGAGGGAGGAAGGAGGCAAGAAGGAAGGAAGAAAGGGGCAAGAAGGAAGGAAGAAGGAGGCAGGAAGGAGGGAGGAAGGAGGCAGGAAGGAAGGAAGAAGGAGGCAGGACGGAAGGAAGAAGGACGCAGGAAGGGAGGAAGGAAGGAGGCAGGAAGGAGGGAGGAAGGAGGCAAGAAGGAGATTTCATAGAAATTACGATAAACTGCAGGATAACATTGAGGACGAAAACTTTTTTTTTTTTTTGTTGATTCCCTGTTTATTTTGCATGTAATTGATATGAAAACTCAATCTGCCGACCCGTCCGACCACATGGAGCTGACAGCTTTAGATTTTCTCACAACCTAACAATAAAGCGTGCACACCGGGTGCCCAGTCGATCGGTCATTTCGAACCCTGCAGAGACGCACACAATATGCACAACGCATACACACTGGTGCGGAGATATTGCGCAGCGTGCCTGTTTTTAAATCCAGAAAATGCTTCGAGAGCAGCCTGAAGCGGCTGGACTGAGACGGCTGGACTAAGACGGCTGGACTAAGACGGCTGGACTAAGACGGCTGGACTAAGACGGCTGGACTGAGACG